TGCCTCTATGAGCTGAAGGAACCTGTTTTTTATTAACCTTTTCGAGCTCCCCTTTGTTGCGTTTCTATAGCATCATCCCAAATATTTTTTGCTTTGTGGTTTTTCCTCGATTCAAGTGTCTTTGTCGCCTCCTACCACTAACATCACTCTACTTCGTTCATGGTTTTGTTAGATTGTAATAGAATGATTGAAAATGGAAGAGAAGATTGAAGAAATGAGTTTCTCATTGATTAAGAAGATCTATTTCTACAAAGCTTATATACATACAGTATAAATAACGATTGTAACAACTTTCTAATCAAAATTACATATATGCCCTTATAGTTATGAACTAATAACTAGTTTGTAAACCAACACCCCCCCTCAAGCTGAAGGGTGTAAATTCAGCTTGGAAACAACATCATCATGTGAAGAACCAAATAAAGGCTTGGTCAAAACATCTACTAACTGCATCTTGGTGGGAACATGATGTAATGAGATTAAACCATGAAGAAGTTTTTCTCGAACAAAGTGACAGTCGAGTTCAATATGTTTGGTTCTCTCGTGGAAAACAGGATTAGATGCAATATGAATTGCTGCTTGATTATCACATTTGAGTGGAATAGGAGTGATATCAGTAATATCGAATTCATTAAACAAGCGAGTCAACCATGCAAGTTCTGAGCATACTCTTCGCATAGATCGATATTCAGCTTCTGCGGATGATAAAGAAACAGTAGCTTGTTTCTTAGACTTCCATGAAATGGGTGATCCTCCAAATAGAATAAAGAAACCACTTACAGACCTTCTAGTAATTGGACACGAAGCCCAATCAGAATCACAATAAGCATCAATGGTAAAAATGGAATCTTTGTTGAAAAATAATCCTTGAGCTTTAGAGGATTTTAAGTATTTCAATACATGTAGAGCGGCTTCACAATGATCTTGAGTGGGATGTTGATTGAATTGACTCAAGTATTGAATGGAATATGCAAGATATGGTCGAGTATGAACTAAAAAATTCAACTTTCCAATCAATTGTCTGTAAGTTGTAGAATCTTCAAGAGGAACTCCAACATTGAGTTGTAACTTTGTTTTGTTTGGCAAAGGTGTAGAAACAATTATATTGTCATCAATGGAGTAATGAGAAAGTAATTCTTGTATAAACTTACTCTGATGCACAATCATTCCTTTGGAATTTCGGGTAAACTCAAGACCAAGAAAAAAATTGATTGTTCCTAAATCTTTGATCCGAAATTGAGCATCAAGAAAAGCTTTCAAAGATGTAATTGCCTCAACATTGTTACCAGTAACAAGGATATCATCGACATAAACAGCAACGATGGTAAGAGAACCATTACCCTTTTTAAGTATAAAGAGTAATCATTTTTTGAATGAACATATCCTTGTTGATGTAAAGCTTGAGTTAATTTGGCATACCATTAACGAGAGGCTTGTTTTAATCCATATAAGGATTTATTTAATTTGCAAACCAGATGTGGATTATCAACATTATAACCAGGAGGTAATTTCATCAACACTTCTTCATGTAGATCTCCATGTAAAAATGCGTTATTAACATCCAATTGTTGAATATCCTAGCCCTTTTTGACAGCCAAAGCAACTAAACAGCGAACAGTAGTGAATTTAACTACTGGAGAATAAGTTTCGTGATAATCTGTGCCTTGTTGTTTGAGTAAAACCTTTAGCAACAAGGCGTGCTTTATGCCTCTCAAGTGATCCATCTACTCTATACTTGACTTTATAAACCCACCGACATTGAATTGGCTTTTTACCCTTGGGTAATTTAACCAAGCTCCATGTGTTATTATCAATAAGAGCAGATAACTCAGTTTGCATAGCTTGTTCCCAACATGGATTACCTTTAGCTTGATGATAAAAGGCAGGTTTTGGAACTTGAAGTGTAGTGGTAAAAGCAAACGAATGTAAATGGTGATTATGGTCTTGAAATGAGGAAGAGAATGGAATGCACAAATTGGTTAAGGTATGAGAACAATGATCATGAGAATGAACATTGTTACAAATATAATCTTGAAGATAAGCAGGAGGCTGTCTAACACGTGGAACTCTTAAAGTTTGAGTTTGAGTTGGTTCAGGGGCAGTTCGGTCATTTGGAATGACAGTGGAAGAAGTATCTAGAGTATTTGGAAAATCAGGGGCATTTGTGGGAATAAAAGAATTGGATGTATGAGGTTTTGGTGTTATCAAGTGTAGAGGAAAAACATCTTCCACAAATTGAACATCTCTTGAAATTTGTATGGATTTGGTGGCCAGATTGAGAACTTTAAATGCCTTTTGTCCAATTAGATAACCAATAAAGATACAAGGAGTTGATCTAGGCATAAATTTGTCTCGATGAGATGAAGGTGTAGCAACAAAACAAAGACATCCAAAGGACCTAAGTTGAGAAAGATCTGGTTTCTGATTGAACAAGATTTCATAAGGCGATTGATGATGTAATACTTTTGTGGGCATTCGGTTGATTAGATGAACTGCAGTTCGAACACATTCAGTCCAATAAGCATTTCCCACTCCAGATTGAAAATATAAAGATCTAGCAACCTCCAAGATGTGTCTATGTTTCCTTTCAACAGTGCCATTTTGTTGAGGGGTATATATTGTTGATCTTTGATGTTGAATGCCTTTTTCTTGAAAAAATTTGACTCCTTCATTACTAGAACCAATCTCTAAAGCATTATATGTTCTAACAATTTTCACTGCCCTTTGATATTGTGTGTGAACATAAGCAATAAAGGATTTGATGAGAGTAAAAGCATATCCTTTATGAGTTAACATGTGGACCCATGTATGTCGACTAAAATCATCAACAATGGTGAGAAAAAATTTATATCCATCATGAGATAAGGTTTTATAAGGACCCCAAACATCAATATGTATGAGTTCAAATGGATGATTAGTAGTAGAAATGCTCTTTGGAAAAGGATTTCTATGTTGTTTTGATTTAAAACAAATAGAACAAGAATCAACATGTGAATCATGAGAGCAATCAACAAGAGACATAGAGTTAAGTTTTTGAACAGGTAAATGCCCTAATCTGTTGTGCCACAACATAACATTGGAATGTTTATGCATTACATTGAAAGAACGAAAATTCAATGTATTTATTACAGAAAAACTATAAGAAAGATTGTGCTGAATGAAATGATGATCAAAGACATAAAGATCTCTAATCCTTTGGCCAAAAGAAGCAAGAGTAAATTTATCCTTTACTGAAGGGTCCTGCAACATACAATATTCATCAGTAAAAAGAATAAATGTATGAAGCTGAGAAGCAAGTTTGGGTACATAAACAAGATTGTACTTGAAAGAGGGAACATAAAGAACATTGTGAAGAGTGATAGTTTTATGTAATTGAACATTACCAATGTAAGAAACAATAGTATCATTTCCATTAGGAAGACCAAGAAAATGTGGTTGTGAAAGTTTTGATAATGAAGAAAAAAGAGATTGATTAGAGCAAATATGATCAGCAGCACCAGAATCGACAATCCAAGAAACATGTTCATGTAATAGGGATGATGATTTGTAAACATTAGCAGCAAAATGTTTAAAATCAAATGGAATACCTTCATCTTGCATAACACCATTAACAATGGAGATATTTGACTGAGAAGATGAACCAGGGCTTGAAAGAGAATTACTGTTCAGCAGTTGAATTAATTGATTGTATTGCTCTTGTGAAATAGGTGGAGATTCATTAGAAATAACGTTCTGAACTGTAGGTTTAACATCATCTTTCTTGTTCTTCGTGAATTTGAAGTTCGAAGGAAAGCCATTAAGGCGATAACATTGAGCTTTAGTATGCCCTGATTTCTTGCAATGATTGTAGGTGAGCAATTTGCGAGATGAATCGGATGAAATTTGCATAGCAATTGCATCATTTGGTAAAGTAGAAGGAAGATTGATGCCTCGTTGTCGTTCTTCTTGTATGATCAGAGAATAAGCAGTTGAAACAGATGGTAAAGACTTCATCATTAAAATTTGACCACGAATAATTTTGTATGATTCATCAAGTCCCATTAGTAACTGAATTAATCGTTGTTCTTCAAAGAATTTGTTAATTGCAACAGATGCACCACAAGTACAATTAGGAATAGATTGTATCATACAAATTTCATCCCAAAGTTTGGTGAACTTAGTAAAGTAAGAAGAGAAATTATCGGCACCTTGAGAAAGAGAATACAGCTGTTGTTGCATTTGATAGATGAGAGCACCATCAGATTGTTCAAATCGTTGACGTAATTCTTGCCAAATCTCTTTTGCAGTTGGAAGAAATAGAAGACTATCAGTAATTGTCTTCGAAACAGAATTTAAGAGCCAACTGATAACCATGGAGTTAGCACGAAACCAGTTAGAATACGTAGAAGATGTTGAGAGAGGTGGAACAATAGTTCCGTCAACAAAACCAAGCTTATTTTTTCGCAGACAATGAAATCACCATCGATCGTTTCCAGGAATTGAATCCAACACCAGTGAAAATACTTGAAACAAGAACAAAATTCGGATTATCAGAAGAGCCAATGAAGAAAGGGCTAGAGACATCGATCAATGAATTAAACGATTCATTTGTTGAAGAATTAGACATGATGAACACGAAATTGATGAAAAAAGGATGAACAGAATCGATTACACGTCTGATACCATGTTAGATTGTAATAGAATGATTGAAAATGGAAGAGAAGATTGAAGAAATGAGTTTCTCATTGATTAAGAAGATCTCTTTCTACAAAGCTTATATACATACAATACAAATAACGACTGAAACACCTTTCTAATCAAAATTACATATATGCCCTTATAGTTATGAACTAATAACTACTTTGTAAACCAACAGGTTTTGTTGCTAGACATGAAGGTGAATCAAAGAATTGACATTACGCTTTGTTATCCACTACCACCGATTTCATAGATCGTTTGCTTACAATCAGATAACCCTTCTTCGAGTTCCTTCCATCCCTCCATACGCTCCTCCCAAACAAATGTCATGTACCTTCCTCTTCCACCGTCTGTCTTCAACCACTTCACATGATCTGATTCCACCTCGGTCGGACACCACGCATCAACATCCGGTAATAATCAGAGAAGAAGTCGATGGTGGTTTCCACAATCAGTCGTCCTTTACAGTTTCTCTTCAGTGAAGAGAAGGTACCGATTTTCCATTTTTCAGTCTGATTTTGATTTTGCCCTTGCCCTAGGACATTAACAATTGTTTCAGCTCTTTGGGATAAGACGATGAAGATCTATAAAATTGTTTCAGCTGGAAATTCGATGATGTGTATAAACCTTTACAAATATGCCGACTTGGGAAAGGTCTTTGGAAGCCGTCGAAGTATTTGGTTGCCTTCTCGCTGTACAGATATGCCGAAATTCACGAAGGATTGACCGGTAAATGACACTGACCTCACTGCATCATGTTTTCGTTTTGGTTTTTCTTGATTCTGAATTTCAATAGTTTCGTTAGTATTTAGATTTAGATTGAAAGTTTTTAACTTAATTTGAAGTTATTTGAAGGTTTCGTTGTCAAAAGCTTATGTACATGGAGGAAATCGAACTAAACCCACACATCTATGTACATATTTCAATTTCATATTTCTGATCCCTACACTTTTATTTTTTTTAATAGCTTATGTTCCCTTCTTTTCCATATATACACTTATCTAACTGTGTCTTTAATGTGTTTGATAAAATGCCTCTGAGAATTTCATCATCTATATATACTTCATTTCATGTGTTGAACATAATATTTTTTTATATTAATGAATTTTTGAACATGTGCCAACACTAACATTAACAAGGTTCATAATCTTTTTAAAATGACTCATAGGGGAATACTTGATTGCACCTTTCCATGGTTGAGGTAACCAGAAATATATCTGCATGTCAATACTAGACAATTAGAGGTTAGTTACAACTTATAGGTTACAAGTACCCATAAAGTATTTCTAATTAATTTTGTTTTAAGTGAAAGGGTAGGGGTTTTGGTGTTCTACTAACCGGTTGAAAGCTAAATTCGGAATCTCAAACCCAAGAACCTTAATAGCATGTTGGTTGGCAGATATAGGGGTGAAATGGTATCATGCATTTGAGGTAACAAATAACAATACACCCCTTCCCAGTTTCCATTATAATACCATCTTCTTTGTTTGTTTTTGTGTCTTTTTTCAATTTTAGATGAGAGCTTCTTGTATAGAGCTTTCTGAAGAAAATCGTGCTACTTCAATGTGAAGAAATGCTGCAATTTCGGATGTTGATGTTGCTGTACATGTATTACCCTGTTTACAGATATGTTGACAATTCAATGTGATGTCTTTTGTTGGTTTTTTTGTTACTTTCAATAGTTGATTCATTATATTTTATTATGGAGCTGGTGAAACTTAACTATTGTTACTGAATTTATGGCAAATGGATCACCTACAAGGCTACAAATTTCCTAATAAAAGAATATAGGTAAAAAAATCACTTTTATTGCTCATGAAATCTATGGTTACACTTTTTGTGTTAAGTGTTTTGAATATATATATATATATATATATATATATATATATATATATATATATATATATATATATATATATATATATATATATTTTCATTTAAGTTCACTTGATCGTCGTAAAAAGCTCATAATAGCCATGGATGCAGCTTTTGAGATGGAATATTTTCATTCCAAAATATTGTTCATTTTGATAAAAAAAAAAATGCGACAATTTCTGACCTGTTTGCTGTTTGTAAGGTAATTAAAACCACCACAGTTAAAATTTCAAATTTTCTTATGTATTAATCATATTACTTTTTTATTTATTGTGGTCATTTAAAATGTCAATTTATAACAACTCTCAATTAAACAACCAATTACAATTCAAACTTCAATTCCCAATAGAAGGGAAAATTGGTCATTTTTTTCATATTCAAGTTATCAATTCAATCTAAAAGAAAAAATTTGTGATTAAACAAGAATTACTATGGATATCATTTACCCATTTAGCACTTTATTCCAAGAAAAAAATGTTACAACTTACACATGCTTGGATAGACTTTGTAGATCTATTTTGTATAATGAAAATGAGAATATTAACGTCTTTTTGCCAACTTAAATATAGGAATTGTTGCATCTCCAATAAACACAACACACTACAATTTCTCCAAGAAATACAAAAACATGCTGATAATGTAAGACATTATTTACACAATACTTTTTTTTTTAATAATTAATTCCCCACTAAACTTACATTTATTTTTTTTATCTTCAAATATTTATAACTTTATTTTTTTAATTTATAATGACCATTTATTGACTTATTTATATTTTATTTAGGTACCTTCAAAACACATTCTTCCTGGTTGCAAGACCAGACCCTGAAGTTCTGGACTTACAGCTTCAATTCCTGTAGAAAAGGTTCATTTTAATTACCAAAATATTATTTTTAATGAAAATAAGAAATCATTTTATTTAATGTTGTTCTAAATTTTAATTAATCTAAATGGAGTCTGGAAAGACAGTTCTTGTCACAGCCGCTGCAGGAGGGACCGGGCAATTTGTAGTTAAGGTAATTCATATTGGTGTTCTAAGGAACTTGGGATTTGACCGAGTCAATTAGTTCAAAGAAGAATCAATTAAAAATGTATCTTTATTTATATTTAATGCTTCCTTTCACAAAATCTTTTCAAAAAGCTTTTTTCTTATTAAATATACACACAATAAAGAATTTTTATTTATCCATAAAATACTCAGGTTCTTAAGAAGGAATTTGGAAAAGATGATGATATTTTTATGAATCTGTTGGTGGTGACATGTTTGATTTGTGCTTCAATGCATTAACAGTTTACGGGCAAATGACTGTCATTGAAATCATCTCTTAGGTACATTTAATAGCAATGCACTTTATATAATGGATTAATCTTATAAAACACATTATATTTCGTGTTTTTTCCGGAATAAACCTCACACTTATTTTTTCCTGGAAAAGACGTTATATTTTTTCCTTTTTTCGGATCTGGCCCTCTTAGTTGTTTGTTCCAAAAAAAAAAATTGACAAATGTGAGGGTTTTTTCGAGGAAAGAAAAAGTTGAATGTTTATTTGGAAACAGTTAGAAGTTTGAGGTTATTTTTCGGGGGAAAAAGAGACAAAGTTGAGGGTTTGATAAAAAACATAGCCAAAAATATATAACAAAAAAATGAAATGCCTTTTTTGTTATAATTATGCATGATGCAAATTAGCTCCCGTGTTGGTCAATTTATTTTGAATGTATCTCCCCTTTATTTGTACAATAACAAACATTTATATTTGATGATTCAGTTGAGTTTTATGTGAAATTTGTTGTTTTTTTGCAGGTTACAATGATAGATTGACATACATTTAGTTGTTTTTCTTTTGCTTATATTAATTTGGAGATGGGCAGAAGAATAACATATGTGTTTCATGGTTTCAAGGTTTGGCCCTAAGTGACTTAACAGTCAATTACAATGATGCCCTAAATACCAATCTACTTTCAATTTGCTCATTTTGATTAGCGTTTAGCATAACAGGATGCTAAATCAACATGTTTTGCAATTTTTCCCGACCCGTAGCGAAGCGAGGGCATTCCCTCTAGTTAATAATAAATTAGGCAAGAAATTAAAATACTAGTAAAGTTACAACATACAAAAATCTTAAGCATAAGGAAGATTTCTGTGAAAAAAAAAAACCTTACATGGGCATTTTTGTAAATTATAAAATCATAGAGACTAAATGTGCCAATATTGAAAAGATTTATGGGAAATATCATAAATGTATCAAGTCAACTCTTCATAAGCTCATTTCTAATTAATATAGTGCCATGGTCGGAGACACAAGTTGCTTTTCTTATAAATGTTCTCAGCTAAGGGCACCCTCGTATTAGTATGCGACTGTTTGTGGGTCATGGATGTGAATTTTTTGGGGGTATCGATTGTCAGTCTAGCTAGTGTCATGGTCCAAGACACGACTCACTTTTATTATCAGTTCTCACCTAGGGGACCTTTGGTATCAGTGTGCGGCTGTTTGTAGGTCATGTGTGTGGATCATTCGGGGTATCGGCCGTTATGGTAGCTAGTGTCATGGTTCGAGACATGACTCACTTTTCTTATATATGTTCTTAACCAGGGGGCACCCTCGTATTAGTGTAAGACTATTTGTGGTCATGGATATGGATCCTTAGGGCTATCAGTTGTCACCCTAGCTAGTGTCATGGTCGGAGATACAGATTGCTTTTCTTATACGTTCTCACCCAGGGGGGGCCAAGTATCAATGTGCGGCTGTTTGTGGGTTCAACTCCCGATAATCAATGTACATCCTTTGTGAACCATCATTCTTCTTCACAAAAAGAATCGGTGCTCCCCACGGAGAACTACTCGGACAAATAAAACCTTTGTCTAGCAGCTCCTGCATCTACGTAGACAACTCCTGCATCTCGGGTGGTGCCAGACGATACAACGCCTTGGCTATCGGAGCCGTGCTAAGCATCAAATCAATTCGAAACTCGAACTGCCTCTCGAGAGGCACTCCGGGCAAATCCTCGGGTAAAACATCAAGAAAATCCGTCACAATGGTTACCTTGCTCAACTCCGTCGTGGCCTCAACCCTTGTGTCAGAAACACAAGCTAAGAACCCAAAACAAACCTACTGTAGGTACCTCCTAGCCCTCGCAACTGAACGAAGAGTTAGCCCACACAAAGCATCTTGCCAGAAATAACCAGTTCTCCCCCACTTTGGGGTTGAAACTCTCACCAGATGTTGCTCGCAATCAATCACAGCCCCATTGGGGCCCAACCAATCCATCCCCACAATAACCTTCGATCCTCACAACGGGATCGACACCAAATCAGTAGAGAACCTCTCTCTAAACATGTTCAGGACACACCCACGGAAAACCCTCGAAGCACTCACGATACGGTCATCCGCAATCTCCACCTCCAAGGGAAAATCCAAGGTACCTGGAGCGTCAACTTCTTGATGAGCACAAGGGATACAAAAGATCGGGTATCCCCTGAATCAAACGGAACATGAGAAGACAAACCATTGACCAAAAAGGTCCCTATATAAGATCATGTGACAACCGTCAATTTTGGTCAAGCAAAGTCAAACAAAGTCAACCAAGTCAACACAACTAGCATTAATATTTCAAGGCAAAAGCAAGGTTTTCTATTGTACGACTATCAATTATAATACTATATATATATATATATATATATATATATATATATATATATATATATATCTCTTTAAACTCTCTCTATCTCAAATCTCTCCCAAATCTCTCCCAAATCTCTCTCTATATCTCAAATCTCTCCCAAATCTCCCTTTATAATAAAAAAATAACACTTCTCACCCTGGAACACTTCTCACCTCGGAACCTCCTGATCTCGGAACCTTCTGACTCCGGAACTTCTGATTGACTTCGGAACCCTCTCTTGCTATTCCGAAAACCATCCTGACTTAGGACCATCTCAAAATCGGAGTCCTTCGCATTTCGGAAGGTTGCACTCCGGAAATGGCTCACTTCGGAAGATCAGGAGACTCTGAAAGATTTCGCACCGGACAATCTCGCGGTCTCGGAAGCCTCGCAGTCTCGGAAGGATGCCCACTCCGGACCAGCTGACTGACTCCGGACCCCTCGCCACTTCGGACTCCACTCCGGAATTTTGGCAATTTCGGACTTTTCTTCGTTTTAAGGGATTTTGATGTCGGGATTTCCATCAAACTCATATTTCTCACATCTTAGACCCTCTAAAATCATATTTTAAGCACATCATGAAGCTTTATTATATAAAACACACATTTACTTAAAATAATATCTAAAGATCATTAAGATATTTTATAACAAGTGGGTCTTCATCTTTTCCATGACACCATTTTGTCACATCTCAAAACCTCATTGGTCATTCCTTGTCCCCCTCATAACTCCTCCCATCCACTTGCTTCACTCCTTCCTTATAACCCACGATTCACCAGTTGTTCTTCATTTTCACCATTTCTTCCACTTTCACATTTACTCACCGAGAATAACTCTCACTTTCTCTCTAGCAAGGACTTCTTCCAAGATTGTTCTTGAATATTTTGGTAAGCATTTTTCCTTCAACTCCTAATGTTGCTATACTAATCTTGGACCTCTTACCCACATATTCATGTATTAATGTCCTTAGGACCATCAAATCTCCAAGTTTCTTTCAAGTGTTCTTGACTTGGAACTCCTCACCCACAACCTTCCACTCATCAAGGAAAACACATACGGTGAGTTCATACCCCTACATTTTTCAAGACCTTTTCTATGTTTTAGGGGGGGGGGGATATAAGTAACACACAAGAAAATTTACGTTAAAACACAAACATTTAAATACGTTATTTTTACAAAAAGTGTTAAATACGTGAAACGGCTTTACTACCAACCTCGTATATTTTTACATACAACGTTTTGATAAGAACGTAAAGATATGAAAAACGGTTACAAAATACACTACATTATTCTTATATATATATATATTGAGTACAAAACTTTCATTTCATTAAACTATATAAATATTGTTTACGAAACTTACCACCTTTGTAACCCGTTAAGCAAAGGGAAAAATTATATAAAGTACATATATAACTGTTTGACGGCATTTTCGATATTATCCTGGAAAAAGGGGATAATTACATATACAAACGTTTTCATTACAAAAACATGTACACTCGTTGAATAAATTTGAGGGACATTGTCTTCATCGTACCTAACTGAGGTAGACACGAAAGTCATGTTTTATAACCAGAATCTCCCGTAAGAGAGTGTGATACTTTTGTATAGATCTATACGTGACTGATGATCTCACACCCTGACTGTTAGCTACAGTCAGATCAGCAGGTTATGGGTGACAAATGTCATAAACGTTTCGACGCCTGAAAAACGTCGCGACATGCAGCTTCATTTTCAGCACGGTTATGAAAACTCACACGGGGAAACGACAATACGTTTATTTTACACGAAAACACATTTCTTCAAACGGTTTTATATACGAATAAAACTACATATTACTATTTTAAGTATGGAAAATACTGGTACATTTCGGTCTTGGAACATTTAAGACTACAACTCATTTTATGGAAAATATCGGATTTTATGGAAACAAATACGATTATTTTAGATGGAAAGGCTTACAATTATTCATACAAACTCTTATGAACTCACCAACTTAATTGTTGACACTTTTTCAAAACAATTTGTATTCTCATGGAATCAGTAAAATAGGTAACCACCAGGTTTTGAGGATGGTACACTAAGGCGTCAAACTAATCTTTTGTCATCATATAGTAATTGACTTTTGAAACATGTAACACTTATAATGATGTAACTTTTTCAATTATATATATGATGGTCTTGTTTGCTTTCTTCACTATGATACAATACATGAAAGTCATCCACCCCCGGACATTTCCGCCATCCTGGTTTGGGGTGTGACGGATTGGTATCAAGGCATTGTTTATAGTGAACTAAGTATATCAAACCACATAAGATATACAAACTATAAATACAATGTAACTAAAACTCTCTGACGTAACATTTTCGTACAAGTATACTTTAAAATATTATGATTATTTTTATAAAAGTATAAATACATTCATACTTACTAGTTCAGTGTCATAACAGTAACAAAACCAAAAAGTATTAAGATAAGTTGAACACTACGAGTAGGCCTCGAGGTATGTAATTAGATCTGGGATGAATATAGCATGATCAACTATATTTATCCAGGATGTGATTAACGTATGCCGAGGAATGGCCGTGGTGAACGACGAGTCTAAAACTTACCAACAAACCATACAAAGAATCTCAGGACTTAAAATCCTATAAGAGTATTTTATGATAAAGCCACACACTTAGATTATTTATGTACCTCTTACCCTATTCTCGAACAGACTCTATGGCAGGATTCCACCCACCTGGAGATCCTTACTTCCCTAACCAGGGAAACGGAGGCTAGATAGAGGAGGATCCAGAGGAGGACCTTGAAGAGAATTCAGAAGAAGAAGAGGACGAAGAGGAAGTTGAGGAAGACACCGACTCAAAACCCGAAGTTTACAATCCACCACACGTCGCCCAAAACCCCAGACGGAACTTTCAGGGCCCGGCACCCCGATGGGCAGTAGATTTGAAGAGATGGAGCCAAGAGCAGGTCCAACGCCCACCTTATGGTATGGAACAAGGTTTTTACAACCTCGATAGAGGGGGTTCAGCAGACAGGGCTCCCTCTATCATAGTCCGTCGCATCGCCCGCCATGGCGAACAAGAAAAGGCATCCGCCAACCAGATTATGGAGGTTGGTGCTACCACCGAAGTTACTGCAGTTTGTCTTCGTCGTCTAGACGTAGATCATGATCGAACACGAGATCATACCGAGGCCCTTAAGAAGGAAGTTACCGCGACTCGAGCTGAGATGAAAGAATATCGGGAACGTCAGGCCATAATGGAGAGGCCTGT